AGGTAGGTAGGTAGGTAGGTAGGTAGGTAGGTAGGTAGGTAGGTAGGATCCAAGGATGCAGACTCACATGAGAGAACATTGAGTTTGGGGAGTGATGAGGCAAGTGGTGACAGCTGAGCTAAATGAATACAGGAAGCAGGTGTGAAGGGTTAACAAAGAACAAAATGGGCTGAGGGGAAAATGGCTGATGACACAAAGAGACAATGGAAAATTAAACACAAGGAATCTAAAAAAAAACAACTCAAAATCTAAAGTATGAAATAATCAACAAACAAAACAAAATAAACCAAATCTGTAACAAAGCAACCAAAAAGCCTCAAATCTACAAAACAAAAATGCAAAGAACAAAGGGTCATGACACCATGGAACAATCTTAAGTAAGAATTAACTTGTCTGACTGTATTTCAGCTTTATTCTATCCCAAAGTCCTAAATGAATTACACAGTATGTCTTAACAAATATTTATTTTATTTAAAAAAAAACAATCTAATTGTCCCATTGTGCTGTGTTTCAGTTGGCCGGCAGACTACAGCCCCCGCTTCTGTCAGCGGAGTAGCAGGAACCACTGCAGGCATCGTGGAACAAGGTACATATTTTCCCATTTTCTTCCTGCCTCCCATAAGCCTTTACATATTTTCCTCTCACAGATCTGACACCATTAAATGGAAATCTCTCAGAATTACAGCAACTGCAGCTCCTTCTTGGCCTGTTTTAATCTTCCTTTTTAAATCTTTCTCTCCCACCCCGTTCTCCTTTAATGCATCTCAAATATTTGCCAAGGTAAGCGGCCTCATCGCTCATCTGAGAGATCAGGGTATTACTCCTCAGATATTTTCCCCTGGCATGAGTTAAAACGTCTTTTGGTTATGGAGGAATTAGAAGATGAAACAATCCAGTTTGAAACGTATGCAGAATTAAAGGTGTCAGGCTTTAAATCAAAATATTCATTCGTTCTGAAGCACAACTGATGCAAAGGGCATGCACACCCACATGGTGCTTCTGTGTCAATGTGTGAAGGGGATTAAGCTCCACATGACTGTTGCTTTCTGTGCCGTTTCCCTTTTTTTTAACTGTTCTTTCCCTCTGCCTGTCTGAGTGTGTGCAAATGTGTTCAAGAGTAAGTCTGTTATCAAAATATCTCATGAACCACTGGGGGTATTTTGGTGAAACCTTTCAAAAGTTATCTTTGAACATGTACTGTATCTACAACTGATAAACCTCTGGGTCATCATGTACAAAGACTTGTGTGGATTTCCTACTGAAACATGGTCTATGCTTAAATCGAGAAAACAGCGTACACACAAATAAATCCAGATGTATGAAACCGCACTTATGCATGAATCCAAGCACACTTCATTTGTACATTCCAATCAACATGGAATTGAGCGCACATGAGAGAAGATCCAACTCCTTTCTTGACACGCCTACATTTAAATATGCAAATAGATTTTAATATGCCCTGCACCTGAGGAATCTCCTCTCTGCACAATCTAAAAGTATGTCTACACATGGAAAAAGAGGAACTTCAGGGAATGTGAGTTGGAGACGGTTCTCAGTGAGGTAGAGGCTCGTAAAAACATTCTGTTTGGCTCGCTGTCCTCTGGCATTAGCGCCAAGTGCAAGAAGAGTGAGGGGAACAATATGTGCGAAGCTGTAAATGCTGTGGGGTCAGAGCAGTGCACACCCACAGAAATTAATATAAAATTGCTGGACATATTTGGATGATTAAATTAATTTACTCACTAAGAAGCTAACCATCTAGCTCCGTGCCAGCTTGTAGTCTGTTCCCAACCATGCTGTTCATTAGAATGAATGAATCGTGTGTAGGCCACCTCGCCACCATGTTGGTTAGTTGCTTTTGCACATCATGTATAATTTGCACACTGATTAAATGAAAATGCTTCCTGTTAAGATTAACCTACTCACCATGTGATGGTACTTTTATAGAAATGTGTGTGCAGTTGATAGCTCCAATTACATTTGGAAAACTGTCTGTTTCTGCAAATTGTGCTGTAATGTTGTCCTATTAAACTGCATTGTAGGGAATTTGGTATACCTGTTTGACATCCGGGTAACTCCATCCCACACAGCTGGCATGGCTTGGCTCAGGGTGGACTAGCACAGTCCCGATTGGTCTGCCAGCTCCCTCTGGAATGCCCCTGTTGATAGGCACCCCAGTGTGGCCAGTAACTGTGTGTATACAGGCAGCACATGGCTCCTCACTGGGCCGTGCTCCAAGATCAGACGCAGCTCCATGCACAGTTCCAAAAAGATTGCCCTTGGAAGCCTAAAACAACTGATAAGCCAGTCATCATCATGGGCCAGAAAATCTTCTGTCTCTAAATACATGATCTCTGCGTATTGTGCCATTTGCTATATCCTCTAATAAGACTAAAGCCATTATTATTAACAGTATTTTGGGCACCATTTTGCAGATGTTTTTATATCCACCCATCTAATGGCATACATGTGAATGCATTATTTGTTCATCATGTGTGTCCAGTGTGTACAATAATAGTTTTCACATTATTAACAGTTTCCTAGTATCACCACTAAGTACCATACCATACCATTTTATTTATAGAGCACTTAAAACAGCTACAAGGCCAACCAAAGTGCTGTACAGACAGAACAACAGACAACACACGAAGCAATATACAAAATGAAGTAAATCAAAAATATAGACATAAAAATGATGCAGATAATAAATATGACGACTCAAGTGTCACCAATGGACAAATAACCATTAGAAACATTCATACACCAGCTATGACATTGGCAGGGGGCTGTGTAATTTTCCACAGTCATTTCATTCTTGATACATCTAAAGATTTGTGTGAAAAAGTGCTTACACCATGTTTTTGTACGTAGGCACCAATTGTACATGAAGCCCCTGGAGTCAACGTCCTGATGCATGCTCAGTAATCCAGGTGGATAAATCTAACAAGGTTGAATCAGGTCCTCCGGATGGATTCTTATTTGTTGAAGAAGAATCCGTCCAGAGGACCTGACTCATCCTTGTTAGAACTAACAACCAATTGTTAGCACCTTGATGGCTGCTTTCGATTTGCATCGAGCTGAGTGATACTAGCAATCACAGCATTGTAAGAGAGGGACAGTTGAACAAAGAGGCCTCCACCCCTGTTTAATGATGGATGGGTTCTTTTCACAAATATAGCTTCCTTCACTTCTCTCTCAAACCATTGTTCCTCTTTATCAATCAAGGATGTGCACATCTTCATCCCTGAAAGCCCGATGGTCTGCAGGTGAGTGTAGACTGCAGAGTCCTGGCCTGATGATGTTGCTCTTCTCTGCTGGACCATCCTTGTGGCTGTGTAGTTTCCCCGATGTAAGACTGATCAAGGCACGCCTCAGACTGAACAGCATACACAGTATTACTCTGTTTGTGCCGGAGGACTGGATCTTTGGGATGAACCAGTCTTTGCCGTTATGTATTTGGGGGTTTAAAAGCCACTGGGATGTTGTGTTTAGAAAATAAACGTCTCAGTTTCTCTGAAATTCCCGCAACATGTGGAATGACCACTGGTCTAAGTGACAGCATTAATTATGCTAACAATCAGTCTTAATGGTACACCTTGTTGGTGAATTTTGGGTAAACCATACAGATTAGGCGTGGTCTCCCCTGGGTACAGTCTGTGGTACAGAATACTGTCTTTAGCATTGTCCTGCTCCAAATATTTTATGCACTCTATCAACTTCTTCTTGTAACCACTTCCTGGTAATATTGTGTATGCTGCTCAGTGTCAGGAGGGCTGTGATCAGTCTTTTATCAGGGAAATTAAACAGCCACTGGCCAAAAGGATGGCCCAGCACAGAAGATCAACATCATCAGGCCAGGACTCTGTGGTCTACACTCATCTCCAGGCCAGCGGTCACTCTTTCAGGGATGAAGATGTTCACATCCTTGATCGAGAGGAACGATGGTTTGAGAGAGGAGAGAAGGAGGCCATCTTTGTGAAGAGAACCCATCCATCATTAAACAGTGGCGGAGGCCTCCATGTTCATTTGTTCAACCGTGTTCAAATGGCTATAACCCGATCAGTTTTACAAATATTATGCTATAATTTGGTGTGGTAGTATCTGAGAGTTATCCTCACCACATACTTCAAGCACTAACAGACCAAGAGATCTCACATGAGCTCACACAAATTGTTATTTTCAACGTTTGACCAAAAGTGCTAGAACTCCATCCTCTTTCACCTTGAGACAATCTTAGTCTAAAACTCTGCCATGAAAAGTTGACTTTCCTTCAAGGCTTTTAAATATAGTCATTATTTATTCACCAAAACACACTTTCTAGCTCATTTTATTTCATTCTTTGTTTTGATCTACCCCATCAATAATCCAACCTATTGAGATTAACCGACCCATTATCACACACCTGCATCTCTCTTCCACTTCCTTTATAGTTCCACTCCTAATCTCTCCATCTATCTGTGTCTGTGTGTCTATTTGGATTATTTCGAGAATTAGCCCCCCCCCGGCGCCATCATCCCTGATGTTCTCTGCTTATCTAATGCTTTAAGCGGTGGATCAGGGTTAGGAGGTGCCAGTTAAATGGAGATGTTTACTGTGTTTTTATAGTGTGTGCGTGTGTGTATTAGGGTGGTGTTCTGTTTTTAGGTAAAACAAAAAGAGTTTTTTTTTTTTCATATTTTTGTCACATTTGTAGTTTCAAACTTGCTGATGAACGGGGGTGTATTTTTCTTTATTCATGCATGGTTAGCCCTGCATGTGCCTTTGTGTGAGCAGATCTGAAGAGTTTTGGTCATCCAAAGGTTTAAGATGTGCACTCTTTCATCTGAGGGTGTGTCATTCTGCTTCTCTGCAGCAGCCAAGAGTCTCCTCAACAAGAAGGCCGACTACAAGGTAACAGGAACTCTTTCCTTCAGTTTTAAAATTATTTCTCTATAAATCCCACTGCAGTGTGCTATTTAAACATGTTTTTTTTTATATAAATAACTTAATTAAATACAGAAGCAACATGCGACTAAACTTTGTGAAATAGTGAAGTCATGATTTTAATGGTTTATCTTAAAGCATAAATAAATTCTGGTATGAATGTTCTGCCTGGACCATTTAAAAAAGTTTATCAAAAATAAATCAGATATATATATCAATATTTCTATGGAGTAGTTAAAAATGCCACTAACAAATAAATGTGGTGCCAAAAAAAATCTACAAATTCAAAAATATATATTTTTTAAATATACAAATGAATAGTATTAAAATAACTTAATACACAAGAATGCATTCATCAAGTTACTGCTGTGATTTATTGTCATATAAACAAGCATATCCACTACAATGTTTACACTTATTTGTTGGTTTGGATATTAATATAAAAATACAACCCACACCAGGACACTAAAGAGTATTGCTTTTTTGTCTAACAAGCATGTTAAACCAAAATAAAGATGCATACCCCAATACATTCTTCTCATACTTCTGATGAAGTATAAATCAGCTTTAAGTCTTTCTAAACAATTATCACTGTGTGAGGGAAGACACTGACCTTGTTCAGACTTGGCACTAACATCTGTCCGAGGTGATCTGAGTGCATCAGGATGGCTCTCCATACGTGGGTGAACAGCATCAACCTGCATTAAAGACGTCTTGAGTTCGTCTGAACACAAACCGTTGTGAGCTAAACCTCCGAATGAACTGACGTGACTTCATAAAGATGAAAAACCACCTCCACTGTATGCTCATTAAAGATGAGACTATTTTAAAGATATGTTAGTTAGTTAGTGTTTATTTGATATAAAGCAAGTAACCGATAGCTCAGACAGATGTGCACTTACAGCTGTCCTCTGGTGACTGAATCAACCAATCAACCAGCACTCTGCTAGATCTAAGCAAAGACTAAATGATGCTTTATCACATTCATACACCGATGGGACACACATCGGAGGCAATGAGGGGTCCAGTGTCTTGCCCAGGGACACTTTGGCATGTGACTGCAGGTGGAATTGAACCCCCAATTCTCCCATTGGAGAACGACTGCTCTAGCCACTCAGCCACAGCTGCCCCACTGGGAAAAAAGGAAATGAACAAATCAATAGTGTCAATTTTGCCTGCATTTTAGAAAACCACCCATCTTCTCTCAAAATAAGAATTGATAGCACTGAACAAGAATAGAATTTGTTTCCAAACCCAAGTCAGTGTTGGATATAAAGGTGAAAAATGATCAGCACTGCCAAAGCAATATACTGTAAATCTGTAGGATTAGCATGCATGGACAGAAAACTGTTCAGTGTTTTAGCTTGATTAGAAGAGCGAGACAGAAAGAATCAGAAGTGAGTCTAACGTGTGCTTTTATTGTGAAAGTTAGTGCTTGAGTTCTGATTGCTGCCTGTTCACTTAACTGATCCACTTCAGCTTCTGGCACAGCAGCCACTTTGCACCACTCTGCTGCAGACATTTTTCACCAGAACAATTCTCTGGTGCCAAACTAAATTAAAGAATTGGTTTGTGTGATTTTTAATTTCCTAAAGAGACTTCTGAGATGCTGAATCTGCAGGAACTTAGACTCAGACCTCATTAGTCATCCACTGTGTGTTTGTATCATTTTTTTTTTTGCTGTTTATTCCTGCAAATGTTTGTGTAGTTTGCCGTGCACTTCTGGTGAGCATGTGTGGTTTTGTGTGGTGTCATGCACGATGTGTTGGCATGAGTTAGTGACAAGGCTCTGCAGAAACTCTGGAGATGCAGGGGTTTTCAAAAGCTGCATAGTGAGTTGGGCAAATATGTCTTCAACACAAACAGAACTTTTCCCAGAACTCTTAAAGTTGCAAAAGATGATGATTTTATTCACCGTTTCAGGTGCAGAACAGCAGAGCGATGCATAAATGTCATGGTTACTTTAGTTGGATATTTCACTTTACATGAGCATCACCACAGTCCTTCCCAGTTAAAGACTTGAAAAGTGGAAACAAAAGAAGTACACCCACAGACAGGTAGATAAAAAGTAAGCAAAGTTCTTAAAGGAATGCATACGCTGCCTTTCATGACCGAATTTTAAACTTTGAGCTGTTTTGGTCAAACCTTGTATATGACGTTATGGATGTGAGAGGATCTGTGTGTGTCTGTGTGATTTTTCTGTCCTGCCCTCAGTGTTTCGTCCTCTTGTAATCAACTCCTGCCTCCTCAACCTGTCGTCCTTCCTCAGGTGTCTGTGTTTGTCCCCTCATTAGTTCATTCAACCTTTATTTCTACAGGTTAATCCCATTGAGCGTCGGGGACTCATTTACAAGAGAGACCTGATTTATTACTTTATGGAAAGAAAATAAATTATATATATATATATATATATATATATATATATATATATATATGTGTAGTATATTGCCATTCATCTTAAAATATTGAGATATTAATTTTGGTCCATATCGCCCAGCCCAAAAGGTAAACAACAATGGTAGACTCAATGAAAGCACAAAAAAGTCTTTCTTGTGTGTTTCCTTGTCGTTCCTGTCTGTGGATTATTTCTTGTGGCATCATGTTCTGCTCTCTTCCCGTGTCTCCTGAGTTAAGAAGTGTGTCTTGCTGTCACGTCAGCGTTTGCTTCTGCTATTTAATTAAATTATTTATTTATATTTCTAGCTTCCCGAGTTCTGTCTGCACTTTGAGTCCAACAAATCCTACAGATCATGACAGGAGGATTTCATGCAACAGGAGAACTCTTACAAAATGTGTCGCTACCGTGATGACTCTCAGCTACTTTCACATCAAACCTTAGCTCAGCATCTGTAATAAGTTAGAGCTATATGGTGTCTGGAGCGGCACAGTGGATAAGTTGGTAGAGCTGCTGCCTCTCAGCAAACAGGTCGCTGTTCTAATCCCAGTCTGGAGGCCTTTCCGGGTGGAGTTTGCATGTTCTCTCCGTGCATGTGTGGGTTTTCTCCAGGTACTCCAGTTTCCTCCCACAGACCAAAAACAGGTTGAATGAATGTTAGACTGATTGGTAACTCTAAATTGTCTCTAGGTGAGAGTGAGAGAGTGGATGGTTGTTTGTCTCATTTGTCTCTATGTGTCCCTGTGATGGACTGGAGAACTGTGTTCCCCACCCCTCGCACAGTGACTGCCAGACATGAGCGCCAGTGACCATAAAAGGAAGAAGCGGGTACAGATAATGGATGGATATATGGTGTTTGCTATTTTGATTAACTATGGTAGCCATCTTGAATAAGACTAACTCCAAAAGTTTATCCATTATAGAAGTTCATCCATTTATTATTTTTAAGAGTTTTGTTAAAATGTGCCCAATGGTTCATGCTGTTTTCTAAAAGTCTTCCATATCAACAAACGCTGTGCACAGTGGAAGACCTTCAGAGTTTAGATGGTATGATTTTATACTTGTTCTGTCTTAGCAATATTTTTTTTTACTAAATGTGAGATCAGCCATAGAAAGGACATCCTGAAATATACCAGATGTTTGGGTTTGTAAGATTTTACTCCAGTAGTTTTCCTCATATGCATTTCTGAAATGCGGGTACGCACTCATTGTAAACAAAGTTCTCAGTTGAATTTACTGAAAACCAAGAGGAAGCTTGAGTCAGATGGTTGATCTACAAAACAGATTCCAAAAAAGTTGGGACACTAAACAAATTGTGAATAAAAACTGAATGCAATGATGTGGAGATGGCAAATGTCAATATTTTATTCGTAATATAACATAGATGACAGATCAAAAGTTTATTCTGAGTAAATGTAACATTTTAAAGGAAAAATATGTTGATTCAAAATTTCACAGAGTCAGCAAATCCCAAAAAAGTTGGGACAAGTAGCAATAAGTGGCTGGAAAAAGGAAATTGAGCATATAACTAACAGCTGGAAGACCATTAAACACTAATTAGGTCAATTGACAACATGATTTGGTATAAAAAGAGCTTCTCAGAGTGTCAGTGTCTCTCAGAAGCCAAGATGGTAAGAGGATCACCAATTCCACCATTGTTGCGCAGAAAGATAGTGCAGCAATACCAAAATGGTGTTACCCAGCATAAAATAGCAAAAACTTTTAAGTTATCATCATCAACCGTGCATAACATCATCAAAAGATTCAGAGAATCTGGAACAATCGCTGTGCGTATGGGTCAAGGCCGTAAAACTCTACTGGATGCTCGTGATCTCCGGGCCCTTAAACGTCACTGCACCTCAAACAGGAATGCCACTGTCAAGGAAATAACAGAATGGGCTCAGGAATACTTCCAGAAAGCATTGACAGTGAACACAATTCACCGTGCCATCCGCTGTTGCCAGCTGAAACTCTACAGTGCAAAGAGGAAGCCATTTCTAAGCAAGCGCCACAAGCTCAGACGTTTGCACTGGGCCAGGGGTCATTTAAAATGGAGTGTGGCAAAATGGAAGACTGTTCTGTGGTCAGATGAGTCACGATTTGAAGTTCTTTATGGAACACTGGGATGCCATGTCATCCGGACCAGAGAGGACAAGGATAGCCCAAGTTGTTATCAATGCTCCGTTCAGAAGCCTGCATCACTGATGGTATGGGGTTGCATGAGCGCTTGTGGCATGGGCAGCTTGCATGTCTGGAAAGGCACCATTAATGCAGAGAACTATGTTCAGGTTCTAGAACAACATATGCTCCCATCTAGACGTCATCTCTTTCAGGGAAGACCCTGCATTTTTCAACACGATAATGCCAGACCACATTCTGCAGCAATCACAACATCATGGCTACGTAGGAGAAGGATCCGGGTACTGAAATGGCCAGCCTGCAGTCCAGATCTTTCACCTATAGAGAACATTTGGCGCATCATAAAGAGGAAGGTGCGACAAAGAAGGCCCAAGACGATTGAACAGTATTAGACATGAATGGGAGAGCATTCCTATTTCTAAACTTGAGAAAC